TTTATTGAGTAAAAACATATCGAAACGGAAGTTTCGCGTGCTCCATTCACAGGTGATAGGATGTCCCGCTAAGTAAACTTGATAGCCATACCTCAAATGCTCCTCAAAGTCGATTTTTTTCACGTTTTGAGTTTTAACATCAACCCATTCTAGTGAGAAAATTATAGCAACGATTCGACAACCGTGCGTTAAAGTCACCGCGCATGGTTACTGCAACTCACGTAACATCCAACCTCATACCTCTTTTTAATAAGGGTGAATCGATTACTTTTCCATACAATCTGGCAACCGGGCCTGGTCATGGTCCCGGTCGTGGCTTGGGAAAGTTCAGATTGTTTTTCTTGGCAAACTTATTGAAAGCCCGGTGACAGAAAGTTGCGATGCAGTCACGTGACCGGGGCTCGGGGACATCACCGAAGATGAAACTGTTCCATGAATTGATGGCTTTTAATCGGGTTACCGCAGCGGGCGCACCGCGAAGCTACCACCCAAAATCCCTCATACTTCCACACATTATTCAATGGAGAGTGGAAGAAACTTTTTTAGTTTTATCTAGAAACGGAGTGTTCGACATTGATTGTGTGCACTCATGCAGATAATCTCCACACTTTTACATAATACACCCTCATGAACCTTATTTTTGATTTTAAAAATTTACTTTGGACATCATGACAACCATTATATTTAAATTTCATTTCCTTCCTCGGTATGAAAGTATAAAATTTCAAAAACCGATTATATAGTATAGTGGCGTTTTGTAAAATGCCTCAGAAAAAAACAAAATCCTCTCTTTGGGCTTAAAATTATGAATCTTTATCCTCTTTTTTTTCATAAACTGATGCGCGGAGGGAAAATTGCACAAACTAAGCAACACCTCACCCAACTGACCAGTTTATGAACCTCCAATTTTCTCATTTTGATGGAAAGAGTTCAAAATCACGTATCTCCGTTTGTAACGTTGCAGATTTCCTGTCATACATTATTTTTTTGCGGGGAAACTGGTCAATTTAATTTTAATAAGAACTTCCCTGATTTTTTTTCTCTTTTAGCAGAATATTCTTATGAATTCCACGCGGCATAAAGTTGGTTCGTCCGTCCTCGACAAAAAATATTAGGAGCGTAACTCTTGAAACACTGCAATGAATATACGTGGTTTTGCACAAAAGCCATCGATATTCAGTCGCGGCATGCAGCATTCTTACCGAGACATTGTAAAAGAAACATTGTGTCCTAGACTTGAATCACAGGTAGAGCTTTAATTCTTAAAAAGTGACCGCAAAGATTATACTATTCCATCTAACGAAATACCTGTTTTAACAACCAGCTTGCAACATAAATCGTCGTTTCCCGAACGATGGAATGTAACTCCATTCCAAGGTTGCAAAGTTAACTCAAACAATTCAATTTTTTACAAGATTTCACCTGTGCAATTTTTCCCAAAATCTTTTTGATTCATACACGAGATCAGAAGGAAAATCAGGGAAATTTGCAATTAGAAATATCAATGATTTTCCTAGTAAAAATACAAATTGGCAACATTGAAATGCAGTTACGTCCTTTTATGAATGAAACGGTCAAATATGCAAAAATCCAAAATACCCCCCTCATCCTGCCCCACCTCGCCAAAGAGACATCGCCAGTGACGTGGCGTGAACGATCGATTATCGATATTTCCTCATTTGCAGCTATGGTAAAGAATCGACTATTAAGATGTTCGTTGCGAACACCCTCCATTTCGATCCTTTAGGTCCTTACGATCCTTTCCATAAGTTTATGTGACCGATCAATAGATATATCGCAAAGCACGCCACGCCACTGTGCATCGCTCTAGATTCCCATGACCAGGTCCGTCAGGCGCGTCGCGTCATCGCTCCGTTATCATCCCAACTTTTCCCACTCACCTAGTTCGGGCCGGTGCGGTGCCCTCTCTCGGTTTTAAATAAATATTTCTGCTGGCCGGGCTGGCGGTGGTCCGGACACTTTGGGGCTGGAGACAGATCGTCGTCGGCGGCGGCGCTGCTGGCTTATGACGACCCGGGTCCCGGGCGCGCAAACAGAGCCGGCTGGAGAGGAGCCACGGATAACGGTTTATCTTTCCACTTCCGCCCCGAGAGCCCCCAAGCGCCGATGCACATGCACCATGCACTTCCGCGTTTCGGGGTTGCCGCCGCGCTCCGGAGTTCCCAATTTCAAATGTGGAATGAATCATTGGCGAGGCGTGAATGAGCGATTTTCGATGTCTCCCCGTTGGAAGTACGATATAGAATCGATTGTCAAAGCAGTGCTCCCATTTCCCGGAACTAGTTACAAATTCCGGAATTTTTTTAGATTTTTTTCTGAGTTTTTCCCGGAACTTTTGGTATTTTCCTAAATTTTTCCCGGAACTTTTGATTTATTCCTGAATTTTTCCGGAACTTTTGAAACTCCCGAAATGTTCCGGATCTTTTGCATTTCCCCGAACTTTCTCGGATCTTATAGAAAAATCTGAAAAGAATCCCGGAACTTTTGACGGTCATGAAATGGAAGAAGTTAGAACAAAAAAGTTCCGAATCTCGGAACTTCTGACGAACACGGAACGACAGCAGTGAAAACGTTCGTTGCGAAATCTTTAATAATCAATCACACTCACTGTCGATCGACACCATTTATCGATCCTTTTACACTAGGTTTAAACAGCAGATCAATCAATATATCGCAAAGCACGCCACGGCACTGACTGATTCTTACATGACGGCACTCCGAAGTTTGTCCGTTTGCATAGATGAGTGTACTACTTCTGTGCTGAGGATATACACCGCGCCATATATATGAACATTTCGATGGCCAAAGAGCAAAACCTTCAACATTTTCGCTCCTATTTTCCTTTGTAAAAAAGAAAAAAAAAAAAATAGCTAACTGCATATCCTAAAATGTATACAGAATTTCTGTTCATACTGAAAACTTTAAATATGTTATTCGATTCAGGTATTTGCCAGTGACAGAGGACATAATACGAAGATTGTGAAGAGTCATGCCCCAAGCAGTGTAACTATCAACAAAGAGATAGAGACAAAAAAGAGGCATTAGAAGACAATTTTCGACTTGTATTCTCTTCTCCTCGCTCAATGACTCTTTTATTACCTCTTCTAAACCAGTTAATCACTGTACCCACAAATGTTTAGTTTTCACAGCTTGACAGCGTTTATTACTCACAAACGCAAACTCATAACGCCTACACTTCTCCGTGTATGCAACACTCACATCCCTCGAGTAGGAAAAGTTGCGTTTTCATAATCACGGAGTCGCTTAGAAAAGTTGGAGTACAACTAAAGTTATAACGTAAAGTGGCTCTTTTTTCTCTCGTGCAGTGGTCCATTGTTCGTGTCCCGTCCCCAGGTGCCCTTTCACGGGACGCGAGATAAAAACTAGAGCAAACGCTGAGCCTAAACATTAAAAACAAGGTTTTAATTGAATAACGGAGTGGATCCCGCGTCCCTTAAATAATTAACCGGAGTCATACTTCACCTCTGTGCGACTCGGGACTGGACAAAACTGAAACTGGGGCAAGTGCACGAGCCAGTTTAATTATTACCGGCAAGGATTCTTTTCCACTCTCCAGTTTAAACATTTATCTTTTCAGCTCTGCAGCGGGGGTTTCGAGCCGGGGACGGAGCCTCGCTGGATGTACCTTTCTTAATGGCGAATGTCCTCTAGGCTCGAGAAGTTTACCTTATAATAATAAAGGCGTCGCTTTCCAGAGACGGATTCGGGTCAAGAGATAGTGTCTAAATTACGTGGATCCAATGTTTTCTAACTTTTTGCGTTTGGTGCGCTGCGCACCCTGAAAATTTTAAAAATCAAATCCCAAGAAACGAGTACCGCGAGTTTATATATAAACTCTCGGTACTCTTTAAAAAAAAAAAACACGGTTATTCGACGAGTACCACGGTAATAATGTCACGCGGGATTCCACGGTAGTGGAACCGTGGATTTTGGTAATATTATTGATGAGCAGAGTAGCATAACCATGCTCATAATAGTGTGTCTGTGCCCATAGTAATATTACGGTGAACACGGTCAGGTCATACCACAGTGCTCATCAGTGGCGTGGCGTGCTTTGCGATACATCGATTGCTGTGTCATTCAAACCTATGGAAATGTTCGATAAACAGGGTGTTCGCAGCGAACACCTTAACAATCGATTTTTTACCATAGGTTTAAATGGCATAATAATCGATACATCGCAATTTACGCCACGCCACTGGTGCTCGTCGTTACAAGAATCAACATCCACGGCTCTACTACCGTGAAATCCCGTGTGACATTACAACCGTTGTAACAGTAGAATAACTGTGTTCTTTTTTCTCGGTGTAACTAGAAAGACACATATCGACTGTGTAAGTCGGCAATCACATAACTCGGTTTGTGACGTCGCAGACTTCCTGTCATACTTTTATTTTTTAAACGGAAAACTACTCAAAGGCAATTCTTTAAAACTGCCGTGGTTGTTCTCCTCTGTGCGAAGAAAATTCTGTAAAAACTTCAAGGAATCATGTCAATTTGTTCTCCTTTAAAAAAATAACGCAGAGGCAGAGATTTTCAGACACCGCAAAGGAGATATGTGATTGCGGACTCACGCCGTCGATATGCATTCACATTGCAGATATGTGAAAGGAACCGATCAATTTCAAATACATTTGTTTCTTTTCGTCTTATCGAAACTATCATATGGAAAATGCAAGAAAAAATGTGCTTTGGATACTACTCTCCTGAAAAAAATTAAATATGAATGCAAGTTTTCAAATACCGCGAGGGTATCCGATAACGATAATCTGTGTATATATTTGCAAGGAAAACAAAGTTGCACAATCTTAGCGACATTGGAATGCTCTTGGTTCCTTTTTGCAAAATGCAATCCAACTGTTCGTTTTCTTTTAGCATATTTCGTTTTTTTTTTTTATAAAAAATCCCTCCCTTTTTTCAAAAATTAATATTCTGTTTTCTTTTTTGTGTCTGCGCAGACGTTGGCGGCAAACGGAGACACTTACACCGTCAAAGAGCAGAAGGTCGACCCCATCATCGTCGCTTCCAAAGTCCGAATCGTTCCATATAGTCAGTACATGCGAACAGTCTGCATGCGAGTTGAGCTTTTGGGTTGCCCCTGGACCGGTAAGTTTGACTTTCTCTGATTTGTCACAAATGAACAAAGAAAGCTCTCAAATATAATTGAAACATTCCTCCGAGAAACTCGAGAGAGCGATTGTAAAATTCCTCACACAAAACGTCATCCGCTACTGAAATATCTGTGGACCTAGCCGTGTTTCCTCCGTTTTGGATATTCGATAAGTAGCTGCCAAACACAGATAGCAAAAGTGTTAACCTCAGCGTTCCTCTCCTCGCTAGCTATCCAAACACACCAACTCGAGAGCCAATATTAACTTATTGATTTAAAAATTACGTTAGACGGGTTTACAGTGCGAATTCCTGGCATTGTGTTGTCAATTTTCTGTTTCTTATCTTGACTTTGTTGTTAGTACTTGCTGTAAAACAGTAACATCTTGCAACGATGAAACAAAAAATCACGGTTCCGTGCCATTGATAATTTCTCAGAGTGCTCCTCACAAACTGCACTCACAATCAGCTGATCATGATCATATTGGTACATTTTGCCTTCCTCTCGTGGCTAAGTCGCAATAACAATTTTTAATATTTTTCCTACATTCGAGTCGCTTTACAGCGCGCCAGGGCGCTCTGCGACACCTAATCGCCATCCTTGCCTATCGATCCAGAGGTCTTCTGGTAAATGACATCTTGTGATTTCATCTTGAATGCCATGCACCTATCCACGATTTTGCTGGACGTCCCCTACGTCTTCTCCGAGGGGGAACCCAATCTAGTACCTTTTTAGGCAATCAATCAGCTGCCATTCGTTGAACATGACCATACCAGACAAGTTGTTTGGTCATAATTTCATGCACGATGTTCTGCTCGGCGTTCATGATCTCACGCACTCTTTCGTTCCTCATGTAATATTTTTCCTCCTTTTCGTAAAAGTATCTTATCTTCCGGCAAGATCGATGTCAGTAACGGTTAGGTGTCGCAGAGCGTAGAGGATCGCAATAAGAGCGACTTAATAGTAGTGTCTTGTCTTCCGTATCGGTATCTTTCAGTGGCGTGTCGTGCTTTGCGAAATATCGATTGATTAGCCACTCAAACCTATGAAAAAGATCAATTATCATGGTGTTCACTGCGAACACTTTAGAAATCGATTCTTTACCATAGCTTCAAATGGCGAGATATCGATAATCGATCATTCACGCCACGCCACTGGTATCTTTTCAGTAGCTTACATCTTTGGTCGGATGCAGTCCAAATTGAGATGGATTAGATTTTTCCAAAGATATTTAAAAGTAATCTTGCACTATGTGAAGCCAGCTCTCATAGTGTTATTCCGCTCCTCTCTTATGTTTCGTCCGTACATCCGTTCACTGGAAAAAAAAAACACATTGGATCTAGAGTCCAGACTCTTGAAACCATTGACAAGGAAAAATACTCTTGATTCAATCGGATTTTTGCTTGAAACAAAACGAAATCCGCTTAAATTAAGAGGCTTGGTTCTTGATTTAAGCTAGATTCTGATTGAATCAAGTGTACTTTTTCTTGTCGATGTTTTTAAGAGTCTAGACTTTAGATCCAATGTGTTTTTTTTCCCAGTGTTGGTAAAGCCAATAGAAAGCCAGTTCGCCTTCATTTTCTCCCATATGCAACAATGATATCCATCATGTAGGAATAGTTGCATACATTCTTTGAAATCAATGTCAAGTCGATACATACGTTGGCCTAGATAATGGAACGCAATTTCGCCTTCAATTTTTCGTATATGCGAAACGGACACCCGTCAAGTAGGAATAGCTGTATCCAGGCTTTGGAATTGATATCAAATTTTTACGCACGTAGCCTAGATAGTGACTGAGGCACTATTATGTGACTTCCGGGCCCAATACCCGAAAGTCCACCATTCGCGAACTGACAGCACGGCAGGCCTCAGACCGGCACACTGAGGAATGCACCTGAAAACAGGACGAAATTTCAAAGCCAGCGACAAGCTGAAATGCCAGGGCAAGGATGCATCGGCGAGCATCGTTAAAACTACGCCAGAGCCAGAACAGAGCGAGAGCATCCTTCGAAAAACAGCAGTAAGTCCGTTTTAGTAAGAGCCACGATCAGCACACACCCACCCGAGTCCCGAGGCTCACCATACTGCTGTCTCTCAAGTATTTTCTCCCCTGCTGCGATTAGCAGTATGTGCATCGGAAAGTGAACCTCGGTCAGTACTCACCCATACGAGCCTCGAAGCCTACGCAAAATCGCACTTACTGCTGTCTTCCGGAGCAAGCTACCCCGATGATTTTCGGGAATGTTACGCGACCTCACTGACAGGTTTGATGAAACGCGTCGCCCGTTACAAAGGCTTGCAACAATCCTTTTGATGCGCTGTAAACTGCACGCTCGCTCCAGCGCTCAGGAATTTCGATTGATTAAAAAGAGTTCGCCCGTCGAGCGATATAAAAATTGGTTCATTCTAGCCCCGCGATCCAATGACTCGGACGCATTTGAATCGAAAGGAGCTTCACCCATTCTGGCGTGAGCTATGAGACCCATAAGAATACATGCAAGACAGGGCCCATGTCACAATGAATATAGTTGCTTTTGATTTAAATGTATCCACTTCATCATCGAATAACTCTTGCCGGATGTTGCAAGTGTTTTCCGGCGAGATTTACTCGTCTATCTCAATGAATTTCTTTCATCCTCGGTTCGGGTTTTGTCGGATAAGGTTGCTTCACACCCTTGATCCTCTCCGTAGCGAGAGTTCTTGAAAGAAATCTAATGATATATAAGTCATTTTTACGTTTGTAAAGACTAGCTATTGGTGTTTGAACTTCATATCCTGTGTTGAGTCAATGATAAGCGCCTAAAATTAAAAATTCTACCCCTAAAAAATTCGAAAATTTGTAATGCGTTTGGCTGCTAGTTTTTCACATCCGGCCAAACTAATGTCTCCTAGTGTTCCGGGGTGGACTTAGAGGATGAAGTAGATGATTTGGGATCACTTTCAAGATACTTGCAGAAACCGGTCCTCAGTATTTTGGCGCTAATCAAATACGGGCAGAAATCCATGCGCTATTGGTTCACGATGATAAGGATGATATTAAAAACAATGTTTTTTTAAAAAAAAAATGAAAAAAATTGTGTTGTTATTCGTTTTACCTTAGTCAAGATACTTATATTTTAAAATATTTAATTGCGAAGTGCGAATATTTTTCGGCGCCTACTTTTTCTTGCTTTTTCCCCCATGGAACAAAATATCCATTTTCCTTGTTCGTTCAGAATTTTGTTCAGAGACTTCCCTCAGATTCGAATCAAGGAACGCAAGGTCTATGTAAACCAAGAAAAATTCGCATGCCCGAGAGTAATTTCTGGTTCTTCGTTTCATTTTTGCAGAGGGCGTATTGAGCTACTCGATGCCACAAGGTGCCTCAGCTAAAAATCAAGGATTGGACCTTTTGGATGAAACATATGATGGACTACATGAGCAGAATCTCCTGATTCAAGGATTGGGACAGCTCACTGATGGAATATGGGGTCATGACGACTTCAGATCAGACGTGAATGGATACGGCAAAGGTATTTACTTTATATTTTCTTCGTATTTATTTTACCTAAAGTTGGTAATTTTCTTGATGCACTATAGTGACGATACGGTAAAATACAATGTATTCAACAGTAAAACATCGCATTTACCATATTTCATCGATATGAAATTACCCTTGATGTTCCGTCTCTCTCTGCAGCGCATACTAGAGTATCTTTATGCACCGTCGACCATCTGTAAGGTACAACGCGAATTCCCAGCTTCGCCGTATTTTATCGACGTTATCGTGAAAATACCGCAAATTATGGTACACTTTTCACAAGGCAGCATTCACTGTATTTCACCAATTTGAAAAGTGGTCACAGTGCATTTCGGATGAGACTGCAAAAATGCGTATCTCGGTTGTGGTGTTTTATATCGCTACTTCTTTACTTTTTAAAAGGAGACCGAATTTTCTCAGCACAGCGAGAAGAAAAATCACCTAAGTTTTCAAGGAATGAAGTAGAGGAATGGTAGTTTTCCAAGTCGAAAATAGAGTATGACAGGAATTCTGTAACATCATAAATCGACACACGCATTTCTGCAGTTTCACCATCGATTTACCGTTCACTGGAAAAAGATATAGAGTTTTGCACCGTTAGTATGACTGACCCAACCCAATTCGTAATTAGAATTAGCCTGGGAAACAACTCAAATCTTTCTTTTAGCACTTTTTCTCTCGTTTCAACAATTTCAAAAAGTGTACCAGGCTGATAGTCTTATATGAAAAACTTAGAAAAAAAAAGTTTGGTACAAGATGGTGTTTGGTTCATATTGAATACCGAACTTTTTCGGTTTGGTAGCTGAAGCTCTCGATTCAGATGATAGTTTCCGGTTATACGAACCGAAATTCTGTGTTAGTGACCGAAACACTGGTTGCTTGTACTAGAGTCCCTATATACTGAGAGTCAAGACAATGTGAATCCATTTCTGAATGGTTCTCGTATTTTAGGACTTCACAGTGTCACAAACTGGAATAAAGATGACATTTTCACCGATTGCAAAGATTATAATCTGGAATGGACCAGGGAATTACGGGTTCGGCAAGGAACAAACGGAATGAGAGAAGGAACGGAGAAAGGAATTTGAGAATGGGCCGATCAAAGATTAGATAAAACGTTCAATTTCTATAATCTTTATTCCCGTTTGTGACTCCATAAGGGGGTGTTGTCTTGACTCTCAGTATAAAGGGACTCTAGCTTGTACCGAATACTGTGTTCGATATGAGCCGAAGTTACCGAACTTTTTTTCTAGACGTAGCACCATATACCAGGTTCGGAAAGATACCTAACTTGGAGCCAGCGCTTATCCCGGCGAATTTCCCGCCAAGATCCACTCGTTTATGGCGCCTTAATGACTTTCCCCCGGATAGGATCCGCGCTCGGGGAGCCTCAAAGAATGCCGTCCGAGACCGTCCGACCTAATCCTAGCGCCGCACTATTAATTTAAAAAGAAATAACCATTACTCAAGTCCGTCCGGGAAATTTATCGGGTCGGGGCCGGCAGTAAAATCGTGGTGAAATTCGCCATACTTTTCCCGCTAATCAGTGGTTATGCACTCTTAACAATGTTTGTTTACGAGTGAGTAATTAAGCACCGCGCTGCCCTCCATCTTCCGTTGTCGCGTCGGCCGCCCAGCGCCGGAACGGGACCAGGTTATGGATTCTGGATTCATGCTTTGAAAAATCGATGTTACGGGCACTTCTCGGCAATCTCGACACCGTTTACGATGGTTTTTTTTTTTTTGCGGGGATGCGAAAGGCAACTGGTGCGAGGGCGGTGTTGCGTGGTTTGATAATCTATCTGGGAATATTCAGATTTGCGAATAATTTGCATTGAGATAACAAATATTACAATAAGATTACCTGGTGATAGATTTAAACATCATCTTAGATGCGCCCTTTGCGTCAGGGGAGCAACGATTCTTGGGCCGAAAATGAGCGAAACCTGCAAGACAATATTCAAGGATTGAGGGACTTGTAGGACAAGTTAGTGAAATAAGTGCAGTTCTTGCTGTCTCAAGAAATACGTGTTTAAAGTTTCAAAATTACACCGAGCCTAATGGCAGGAAGAAAGTTAAATTTCACTTTTTGATTTTTAAAAATTGGATATTAGTAGAGAATTTTTCGAGGAATATATTTTAAGACTAGTTTTAGTGGAACTAGTTAAGATCTCAATTTTTTTAAAAAACTGCATTCATCCCTCCTGTCTTCGAAACTCCTCAATTATAGGCAGTAAACATGGCTGTCAGAAACTTTAAAGAGCTTTTAGTAATAGCTCGTTATTTTATTGCAGAACTTGTAATGATTCTTTTCATGCAAACTTCAACTTAATCGCTACAATTATACCTTCATTTGACATTTTTGGGCATTCGTTTTGATAAAATATTCGTAAATCACTCTTTCAAGAGTAGGTGCGAGTTACTCAATTGAATCGGTCATTCTGAAGAAGACGTAAGCGCAGAAATTAAATTACGAAAAACGCACGGGAAAGTCCAAATCAACCAACTTTTAATCTTAAAACTCCAAAATATTAAAGCACTTAATGAATCAATGGCATACTCAATCGAGGTTTTGAAACGGGTCGATTCAAACAATTTTTGCCGTTTTTTTTGCATTTTTATTCCTGGCGCTTAAGTTTTTTTGAGAATGGCCAATTCAATTTTGAGTTCGTCGGCGGTAAGGCCCTTTCTCCAGTGAAATCCGCACATGCCCAATGTCCTTTACAATGGAGCATTCGTAATTGAATGTTTATTTACCTCACATATTGGAACCGATTCTTGATACTTGCGGTTACAAATCATACGGGTTACGATCATTTAGAGGACAGAACTGCATCTCGCCCGCGTCGGAGACTGCACCGATGCAACTATGCACCGAGTAGGCGTCGAGCTCACGAAAGGGTTATTTAGATAATGTCAGCCCCCCCCCCCCCCCCCGCCGCCGCCCCCTCTCGAAACGACGTCCCCTTTTCAGCAGAAAATTATACCGTAATTCCGTTTCATAACGCGAAACACGAAAAATCGTTTAGACAGTTATAACCGAAAGCCGGACGAGAGAAGAGCCTTCACACTGTCCATGCTGCGCAAAAACAGCGCAAATCCAATTGAATTGTTACGTAGATACGCGGTTTATGGACGTTTCTATCGGAAGAGCGTTGACAGGAGCAACGTATACCCGACTTGCGACCGGTTTGGAAGGGCTACGCCGGGCTCTGACGGGCTTTGGACGTTGTGCGTGTCGACGTCTGAGTTGCAGCCCGTCCGGTAGACAGTTTTTGCGCCCTGTCATATTTTGATGCTCGATGCGTAATTAATCGTAGGCGCATTATATGCGAAGGTATGTTACTGGTCGTGTGGACGCCCTGATCAAACTGCGCGGTGCCGCGTTCCAAGTTTTCTGGGAGATGCGCGCATAACTTCCCTTCTCTGGGCACAGGATGCTTGAAAATTTTGGTTCGCATCTTGAACATGCATGTCATGCACTGGAAAAAAAACACATTGGATCTAGAGTCCAGACTCTTGAAAACATTGACAAGAAAAAGGACTCTTGATTCAATAAGATTTAAGCTTAAATCAAAAGGAAATCCGCTCAATTTCAGAGGCTTGGTTCTTGATTTAAGCTTAAATCTGATTGAATCAAGAGTATTTTTTCTTGTCGATGTTTTTAAGAGTCTGGACTCTAGATCCAATGTGTTTTTTTTCCCAGTGTGGTAAAAATTTACTCCAAGGATTCATGTTTTCGAGCAAGTTTTATTTAATCTTTGGTAAAAGAAAATTCTTCACGAGAAATAATCTGATGTGAATTAATGGAAAGAAGGGGTACCGAAGAGGGCCGTTTTTGAGCCCACCCTGAATTTCTTCAACTGTAAGGTTTCCTGCTCATTTAAAGTCTAGTTTACGGGATGCATCATGATTTGGACGGAGGATGGCGGACGATCGGTTGCCCAAGCAGATTTTCGATTGGGTTCCTCCCGGAAAGCGACGGCGTGGACGTCCCGTGAAAGTTTGGCGACAAGGGGTGGAAAAGGAGATCCGAAGGTGCCAATTGCCTGATGGTCTCTGGGAGGATAGGACAATGGCGATTGGGCGTCGCGGAGCGCGAGGCTGCGCTATAAAAGCGGCTTGATGATTTCGGTATCATGATTTGGTCGTTTGCTGTTTTTTTCCGGGTCCAATACTTTCCAAAACATGGGTCTGGCGTCCGATTTTGGCGAAAACGACGGATTTATTGGCATTCAACCGCAAATTCGCAAAACGTTCATTTTTCGCCATAATCGGTCCACAGGTCCCATGTTTAGGTGAGTATTAGACTTGAAAGCAGACCCAAAATGACCAAATAATGATGAATTCCGTAAAACATGAACTCTCATCAGCATTGAATGAGGAAGAAAATTATGAAAACAGACAGAATACGAACACTCTTAGATTTTCCGGCCCAGCTGATGCGAGTGCAGAATAGTGCAGATGTATACTTCTGGCACACCCTATACCCGACCTCACATCTTTTCCCAAGTGATGTATAAATCTGCTCCTCGATCTTGATATTATCGGTGCTCAGGAGAAGATTCGAGGATGATTTGAGCGCGTGCCAATTCATTCAAATTGAAGATCGCTCGCGCTTATAGTGTCCGTAACCGAGTCCTGCGAGTGTGTGTGTAAACATTCCAAGTTTGCCTTGCGGACAGAGTTAATGTGTATAAGTTACCTTATCTTCGAAAGTGCGGGCTCCCCGTGCGTTTAGCACCTCTAAGACTACCCGCATTGTACTTCGCTGGAACTGAAATATGGTAAACGCAAAGCATCTAGCATAGAGTCTTAAACTTCTTATGACAGCGGTTTTTAGATTCGTGGGCTTGGACGATTTATGTCCACTAGAAAATGTCACATACGGTGGTTTAACGTAGAGAGATTAGGTGGTTTTATGTTTGAACACTGGAAAAAAAACACATTGGATCTAGAGTCCAGACTCTTAAAAACATCGACAAGAAAAAA